TATCATTACTTTTATAAAATTCGTAAGTACACAATCTTTTAATGTTCTGTGACAAAATGAGAAGTATGCATGAAGAGCAGGACTTACAAGAAAAGCAGCTTAAACAAGACAGTTAAAACTGATAGCAGTATTAAATGGTGCACCAGACCCAGCCCTTTCCAGTCACTTTCAAATTTGGCAGGTCCAAAAATGAACCATTTAGCCTGCAGTTGTTCAGTCAGGATCAAGCTAAAAAGGAATCCTAAGTGAGCCTCTGTAGGTCCCAGGAGAGTACTGACATCCAGAAGCACTAAGGCAAATTCAGATAAAGCAGCAGTTCTACAAATGTCATCTGCAGTCTTTTTCCAGAAAGAAGGGGCACAGGATCCCGTGTGCCCCACCCCCCTCACCCCAACACACACACCCTGCTTGCCAGCTATCTTCTTAGCTGTTCTTCTGTTATGCTTTTAAGGTTAACGCTATTTTCTTAATAATGTCAAAACATTAGTTTGCTTTTCCCATCACATCCATCTTTTTCTCTCACAACAAAAAAATAAAAAGTTTAAAACCAGTTTCATTTAAGAATGTCCACCATGTCCAGGTGTGGTGGCTCACGCCTGTAATCCCAACACTCTGGGAAGCTGAGGCAGGCAAACTGCTTGAGTCCAAGAGTTCGAGGCAAGCCTGGACAACATAGAGAAACCCCATCTCTACTAAATAATCTCTGCTAAAAAATACAAAACCTTAGCCAGGTAGTGCAGCTGTAATCCCAGCTACTCGGGGAACTGAGGTGGGAGAATCACCTGAGCCTGGGAGGTCAAGGCTGCAGTGAGCAGAGATTGTGCTACTATACTTCAGCCTGGGCAACTGGAGTGAGACACTGTCAAGGAGGGAAGGAAGGAAAGGAGGGAGGAAGGGAAAATGTCTATGATTACTTTTATAAAATTCGTAAGTACACATCTTTTAATGTTCTGTGACAAAATGAGAAGTATGCATGAAGAGCTTGTGCTACATACCAAAGCATGATATCTGTCTCAAAAACCACTTGTGTGATTAAGTTGTAAGCTGAACTGCATGCTATTTTCATTGGACGCCATTTTTATTGTACACGGGCATTCAGCTTTGGGTATTTAGAAGATATTTTCTTGGAAATGAATGAAGTGAACCTGTCACTTCAAGGAAAATGACAACATTTGTTGCCAGTGATAAAATCTGAGCTTTCAGCAAAATTTGGAATTTTTAGAAAACTTGTATCCACTACTTTGAGCTTGAGATCTTCCTGAAACTTAAAAAAATGTTTTTGGTGAGCTAGGGAGTATTAGCAATGTTAATATTGATGCTGTATAATGAAATGTATCAACATATAGAAGATCTGCATAACTCAGTGAACCAGTATTTTCTAACCAATGCAAGGTATTTCAAAATCACGTAAGGGTAAAAGATCCGTCCTAAGTACCAAGATTATTAATAGAGTACAAAAAATTCATTGATATGGTTTCAGATTCAGATTTGACATTGCAACTCACCTTTAAGAAACTTATACATGTCAAATTTTGAAGTGGTATAAAAAAAGAATACAATTATTTGAAAAGTCTATTAAAATAAGCCTCCCTTTTCCAACTACTTATCTGTGGGAGGTCAGATTTCCTTCATATACTTGAAGTCATATCTAAATAGACTGAATGGAGAAACAGGAGAATCCAGTTGAAAACTACTAAGCCAGACATTAGATTTGCAAAAATGTAAAAGGATAATACTCTTCTCAATAATTTGTTTTGGAAAATAGTTATTTTTCATTAAAATACTATTCATTATTTATATTAACATGTAGTGGGTTTATTACGTTTAAAAAACCTATTAGTTTTAATTTCAAATACAGTAAATATTGATAAATACAGCCTACATAAGCAAAAATTCTTTGGAGTCCTCAATAATTTTTAAGAGTGTAAAAAGGTCCCTAGACCAAAACATTGAACTGTGGAAATAAAGTAAGTTATAATGCCACCTACTGGCAAGGCCTGAAATCACTGCTGCTCCTGAAATTAAGCAGCTACCAAACTGTTTCCTCACGTATATCGATAGGTCTCAAAGAATGGTCTTCTTTAAGACTCAGCCAGGGGAAGCAGCTGGGGGAGTGAGGAAGATTTTGAGACAGAATCAGAGTTCTGCTACTGAGTAGCAGTAATAATTCTCCCCAGTGGCCTTTCTTAAGAACTTAAACCACAGGTTACTGAAGTTGGCACCGGTAGTACAAGAGATTTACTTTTGTTGTTCGACTCCTTAGAACTGTGTCTCTTCACAGCTTGTTAACAACTTCACTTATTTCTTCTTCAGAAATATCTGTCACTGTAAGATGTTTTATTATCTTATAGGGGAAATGCCTAGTTGGGCTCATTGAAGTTTAGGCATTGGTCCTAAAGAAATATGTGGGCATCATGATTCCAGGCAGTTGAAGACTTGGGATTTTATTCAGCCCTTAAGATGCCTCGGTGGGCTCAGTAAAATGAAGAGAAAAGAATAGTCTGGGGACAGGTTTTTTCGTACTATGACCATGTCTGTCTCACAGTTCCTTGTTTGAAATCATCCAATAGAAAGCTGAAGCCATTTGAAGCTTCTCCCCACCCCACCCCATGCATTTCCAACATGGTTCATTTTCCTTGTGGCACTGCTCATGAGACTGATCAAAACTTCATACTTCCCTCCTTCTGTTTGTAGATTTTAAATGGAGGGACTCCAGACATTCCTTCCAGTGGCCTACTACCAGGCCAGGCTCAGGAGAACCCAGGTTATCCATATTCTGATAGTTCTTCTATTCTTGGTAAGTGGCATTATTATTCGTTTCCATTGCAATGAGCTTGCAAAACTTCTGACATAAAGTCAGTTTTAAGAACTGAATTGTATAAAATAAGCTAATCCTAGATAAATTTGATAGGAACAGAATAGAAGTTTAAAATTTGTTTAAATCTCTGAAAAGTTGACTTCAATGTTTGAGTTTTGGTGGAGGTCCAACTTTGTGCCTAGAACTCAAGAGGAGGCTATAGCAACCTAGACATAGGCCTTCTGCCATGTGGGGCATAATCTGTTCGGAGAGAGGACTAATGAAGGTTCAGAGATAATGCCTGGAAGGGTGATTAGTAAGTATATCAGAAGGTATTAAAAGTCATTAAGTGACAAGAGTTTGTTTCTCCCATCACATCCACCTTTTTCTCTACTTGTCTTTCTAGATTTCTTTTTTTCCTAAACTCTCCTTATTTGCCTTTCTTTTTGTAACTCCTCTTAACTGGTTATATCAGAATATTAAAATGAGCTCAACTCAAAGATTTTTAACATTTAAGCCCTTTGTACTTACTTCTAAAATGATTTTAGAAGCTCCTTAGAGCTGTGTCACTTCACAGCTGAACAACCTGACTTATTTCTAATGTATTTTTTAAAAATTGGTGCTTTCCTCTGAAAAACAGCAATAAAAAAAAGCCATGCAGCCCAAAAAGCAGACTCTCACCCTACTATTAAATGTAACTTTATTAAGTGTGCTTAGGAATTGCTAACAATCTAAATATGCTTTTTAAAAAAATCATTGACCAGTCTTTATCTCCTCCCACAGGTGAGAACCCCCACATAGGTATAGACATGATTGACAACGACCAAGGATCAAGTAGTCCCAGTAATGATGAAGCAGCAATGGCTGTCATCATGAGCCTCTTGGAAGCAGATGCTGGACTGGGTGGCCCTGTTGACTTTAGTGACTTGCCATGGCCACTGTAAACACTACATGTTGCTTTGGCAACAGCTATAGTATCAAAGTGCATTACTGGTGGAGTTTTACAGTCTGTGAAGCTTACTGGATAAGGAGAGAATAGCTTTTATGTACTGACTTCATAAAAGCCATCTCAGAGCCATTGATACAAGTCAATCTTACTATGTGTAACTTCAAAGTGGAACTAAGCCTGCTCCAGTGTTTCCTCATCATTGATTATTGGGCTAGCTGTGGATAGCTTGCATTAATTGTATATTTTGGATTCTGTTTGTGTTGAATTTTTTAATCATTGTGCACAGAAGCATCATTGGTAGCTTTTATATGCAAATGGTCATTTCAGATGTATGGTGTTTTTACACTACAAAGAAGTCCCCCATGTGGATATTTCTTATACTAATTGTATCATAAAGCCGTTTATTCTTCCTTGTAAGAATCCTTTACTATAAATATGGGTTAAAGTATAATGTATTAGACAGTTAAATATTTTTAATAAATGTTTCCCTTGTTCTATAAATACTGTTCACATTTCAGATAATTAGAAAAAAAATTCCTACATGTTGCAGGGCAGGGTTATCAGTTTCTACAGTGGATGTTTAAGGACTATCTATGCCAGTAACAGTAACATTTGTGGTGCTATTCTGGCCTTCATAACAATTCTAGGACTTGCATAATTTCTCCATGCTACTAGCTTAGCTGTGTTGTTAAAACAGTTCATTTCTAAATTGTTGCAGTTTTAATATATGTGAGAACAAAGATGTTACTGCTAACACACAAACTTCGAATCCTCTGAAATTATAAATTCAAGATTGTATTTAACAAATTGGCCTCTCTACTGCTGTACCCTCTCTAATACTACTTCAGTTGTTGTATAGTAGCTGACCCCAGTCCCAAAGCACCTAAATATTTGATTCCTGCTTGAATTAGACCACAGAATATTTACAATAGTATTTGCATAAATAATTTGCTAAGCAAAGTAGCATGGTATAATGGAAAAACTGAACTAGTATGAGAAACTGGCTCTGAAACTTAGGGTGACTATATGACCTAGTAAAGTCATTTTGCCCTTCATATCAAGTTGAACTAGAAAATACTCTTTTCAGCTCTAATATTGTTTTGGATATAGTATATTTTATCATTAGTAGGGAATTTAAATGCCTTATCACACATATACTAAAAGTTCCTTGAGCTACTATTGGATTTCTAATAATACTTATACCAATGAGACAGGAAATCATGAGACTAAAAATATAGTCAAGGTGGTTATAAATCTGGTCAGAAACATTAAAACAATGGAATTTTATTTTGATGAAAAACTCGAGTTTACAATCATTTAGTAAATGAACAGCAAACACTTCATTTTCCTATCCCATAACTCTTAAGAAAAAAAGCATTAGTAAATAAATATCTGTGAACAGATTAAGGGTAAGGCAGACTGGATAATAAACCACCTCTGACGTTCATACTCCCTGCATGTGACTCACTCTAAAGGGTGAAATGGCACTGGAGATAACTGAACTTATGGGCATTAAATGTCATCCCGATCACTCAGATAATCCCAAGATAAATACTTTCTGCTCACCAAGGGCAGCAGACTACACAAATTTTACTGGAGGAATACTTTGACAGAAGCACTTACTTAAGTTATATTGTGCATCACAACTATAAAATGGCTTGAACATTTCCATTTAACCACTTCCATTTAACCACCATTTATAAAGTGCAACTATATAATCTGCATTTTATCTGGGGTGTGATGAATATCAATCCAAACTGAAAGTACCCCAGCTGCCAATTTCCACCACTTTTCAAAAGACCTAGATGTGTGAAAAAGGACCATCCCCCATACAAAGAACCAATTTCACAAACCTACTGGTAAACAAATACATTTATATAATTGGAACTTCAAGATGATAGAGTTGTACTCATTTAAAAAAACCACTCAGCTACCTTTGGTCTTTAAAAAAGCCTACACTGCAATATCCTAAACATTGTTATGTGCATCTCACAATGAAGAAGAGTGACCTTGCAGTGCAGAATGAGGAGAGTACAACATCACTGTGAAGAGTAGCATGCTATGGTTTCAAGGAACATCAGCATCACAGCATTGGATTCTGTGCATCAGGATCAAGGTCACTGTTGCCAGAAGGGGGATGGATAGGGAGAATATCCAGCTCATCCACTTGTGGAGTTGGGTGCATGACTACCAGCTGGTCTTGGGGAATGTCTGCCGCAGCTGCTGCAAGGTTGGTGATAGATTTACTCTTTACACACTGAAAGTCTACATGCCGGCTCTTTCCTTCTTCCTTCTCCCAGGACATTCGAATAAACGGTCTTTGGACATAGTTGTAGATCACTTCTGGGCGGCCTCCAGGTCTTTTCTTTACTTTTTCTTTGTAGGTAGGATAACCTGAAAGAAAAAAAGGTTTTAAAAACTGAGGATACACACACACACCCCTCATCCAATTTTGCCTTAGAAAGCTTTTCTGCTATAGATCCTATAGAAACAAAACAAACAAGGGACAACAAAATTCTATCCACCTACTCATCAGTTCAAGAGCCAGAGATGAAAACTCTACTGATATAATTCACAAAATCTTCTGTCATTCTTTAATTACTCAATACACCAACCACCAAGAAAACATTCTTCAAGTAGGAGTATGTTGGAGATGAGTCCCTGGTACAATAGCATGGAGCAGATCTTGGGTCTCTAGCCATGTATCTTTTTTTTGTTTTGAGGATTTTTTTTTTTGACACGGAGTTTCACCCAGGCTGGAGTGCCATGGCATGATCTTGGCTTTCTGCAACGTCTGCCTCCCAGCTTCAAGCAATTCTCCCGCCTCAGCCTCCAGAGTAGCCGGGATTACAGACATGTGCCGCCATGCCTGGCTAATTTTTGTATTTTTAGTAGAGATGGGGTTTCACCATGCTGCCCAAGCTGATCTTGGAACTCCTGACCTAGAGTGATCCACCCGCCTCGACTTTCCAAAGTGCTGGGATTACGGGCATGAGCCACTGTGCCTGGCCTCTAGCTATGTATCTTTATATTCTCATCACAGGATTACCTGGCCTACAGGCCTGTAATTTATGCCACATTAGCCTTCTAGTTTCCTTAAACTTACATCTCATCTTTATATTGCTTTGAGTTTTTTCTTTCCTTTTTTTGTTAAATGGAAAAGCTGTACAGCTCTCTAGGTGGTTCTAGATAATTCTGCATCTAGATCAGCAAAGCCAACATTTTAACCTCCCATATCACTTTAACAATACTACTCCCAACAACCAAGTATTTAATTTACAGTCACATTTCCAAGCAGCGTTCCCTGATTAATAATACCTAATACCTTCCTCTTTTGGAACATAGTCACTGAAAAGTAAGGACAACCCTAGATTTGAAAAAAAATTATTTACTAGTAAGGCCATTTCTCCAAAGATAAACTGTCTTTAAGAAAATATTACAGACTCCTTCCCTCCTTTCTTCCAGTAAGAATTACTAGTTTGGTCCAGGGATTGACAAATTTTTTTCTGTAAAGGGCCAGAGTAAATATTTCAGGCTTGTAGCCCCATGGTTTCTAATAAACCTACTTCACTCTGCCCCTGTAAAGTGAAATCAGCCACAGAGAATATGTAAACAAATGAGCATGTGTATGTTTTTCTTTCTTTTTTGGAGCTGGAATCTCTGTCACCCAGGCTGGAATGCAGTGGTGCTATCTCTGCTCACTGTAACCTCTATCTCACGGGTTCAAGAGATTCTCCTGCCTCAGCCTCTGAAGTCGCTGGGATTACTGAAGCCTGCCATCACACCCGGCTAATTTTTGTATTTTTGGTAGAAACAGGGTTTCATCATGTTGGCCAGGCTGATCTCAAACTTCTGACCTCCAGTGAGCCTCAGCACCCAGCCACATATGTATGTTCCAATAAAACTTAATAAAAAACAGGCAATGAGCTGATTTTGACCCATAGGCCAAAGTTAGACCATAGTTAGAAAAAAACAGAATGGTCTCATATAGTAGGGGATCCACTAATGATTACTATACAAGTGAATGTATGTAGGCATCGTTGGTAGCTAGTACAAACAGTCATGTGTGGAGTATGTGTGTGTGTGGTGGGGGTGAGATAGGTGCAGCAGGTGAACAAAGCTAAAAATCTAAAAACCTGTAGAATGTCTTCATTTCATACTTTTGGTCAATTACCCTCTGAAGGCAGCACCAGAGATCAGAAAGGTCTCCATCACCATTCCCTTGTCCTTGATTCCTCCTGGACTATTAGAAAGACTTTAAATTTCCCATCTCCTTGTATTCTATCCTCCACACACAATCACCACTCTAGATAAATGTAATCATATTACAATACTTGCTTAAAAACTACCAATGGTTTCCTCGGTGCTTAAAGGGAAGGACTATACTCCTTAGAATATTATACAAGGCTTTTTTACAACCTGGTTCCAATCTACTTAACGTTATCTACTATCATGCTATACTCTTAACTCTAAAGCTCTTAAATATACCTGCCACATTAAGCTTTCCTCTAAATATGCTTTTACACAAATTGTTCTGCTGCCTGTTCCCCCTCAGCCCCCTTACCCCTGCGCTCCGCTCCACCTCCTTTTATCACTGGCAAATACATTAAGATTCTCCACACAGTTAATCATTAGCTTCTTATGGTCCACAGCACTACCATGTCAACAATACTTAACAGAACTAAATTGTAATTACTGTTTTGTATGTCTGACTCTCTCACTTAAATAACAAGTTTCTGTATGGCAAAGCCAGTGTCTTTGTTGGTGTATCCTCAGTGCCTAGCATAGTACCTGATACACTGCAGGTGCTAAACAAATATTTGAGCAAAGAGTGAATGAACTACCAAGACATACCAATTACAAGTAATAACCTCTTCCATTATCCATCTTATCAGAACATTTTTTCCTTTAAAAAGACAGTAAAATCACCACTTTGGAAGGCTGAGGCAGGTGGATCATGAGGTCAAGAGATCAAGACCACCTGGGCCAACATGGTGAAACCCCGTCCCTACTAAAAATACAAAAAATCAGCTGGGCGTGCTGGCATGCACCTGCAGTCCCAGCTACTTGGGAGGCTGAGGCAGGAGAATCACTTGAACTTGGGAGGCAGAGGTTGCAGTGAGCCAAGATTGCACCACCGCACTCCAGCCTGGTGACAGCAAGACTCCAACTCAAAGAAAATAAATAAATAAATAAAAATAAAGTAAAATAAAGTCTGTCCCTGACTTGGAGATTTACCAACCTATTCAAGTCAACAGTTCATGATTTAGCAGCTACTGCACCACAGAATTGTAATGCCAGAGTGCTACCGTAAAGGTGGTTATGGTCTATTGGGAGTGATTAAATTGTTCATAAAGTCAAAGAACATTCCAAATAGCAAATATGCGTACCTAAGAGAAAGTGTTACAGCAATGGTGGAAGTGTAAAGAATTCAGAAGATGAATGAGATTCCAGTGGACTAAAATAGAAAAAGCTACTTCAAGGCCTTCCTTAAATCTTAATGGATGAGCAAGACTGGGATGAACAGGAACATGGGGAGCACAATGTAGGCAGAGAGAATATTATGCTAAGCAGAGAATGGCATCAGGTAAGATACAAAGGCAGGAACATAGAAGATGGTTTAGGAGACCCTAACACACATATGACTGGAGCAGAAAGTGTATTGGTAAACACCTGGAGGTAACATTAGCAGACAGATTATGGTCAAATGGGGGAGAGTCATGTGTAAATTCTACTCTTTAATAAAGAGTAAATTATACTTTTTATTAAACGAAAGGAAGCTCAGATTTTGTCCAATGTTAGTTTGTTAAAATTTTGCACAGAAAATTTTGTATGCAGGTCCAGAAACATGGAATTGGGAAATCAGAGGTTCTGTAAACAGGTGGACTTTCAATGATAAGAGTCAGTCCTACTACTGTCTTGCCATTCCTGCCCAGGATGCAGAGGGTAAAATAATTCACAATCCAATCCAATTAAAGACTTTATTTCTTTGTCTCAAATTTCCTATATTCTATGGGAACTGTGATTCCACAATTATTTAGAATTTGTTCCCTTAAACTTCAGGTTCTAAGTCTCAGTCAATTATTCTGACAGAAGAGAGCTTTCCACTGAGTTCAGGACAAAGGACTAATGACGGGAGTAAGGCCACATCCAATATGGTCTGCTAGATGGAGCAGCAGTAGTCCTAAACTGCCTTAAGAACCCAACCCTTGGAGGTCGAGAGATGTTGTTCCATTAATGGACAGGTGAAACAAACAAAATGAAAAACCCCAAAGAAGTGCCTTTCAGTGGAATTGTAGTGTGTAGAATGATTTAGGTAAGAATTATTTGTGCTTTCCCACTTTGGACACATTTGTGTTTAACAACACCAACAAAACCCAAAAGCCTACTTAAAATTAAGCAGAGGAGGCCTTAGATAGGTCTGACAATAGCAGTGTCTCAATATGAATATGGGACCACAGTGCTAAGATTATTGTTTGAATACTTCCAGCCTTATATTGCATCATCTTTTCTTACACATCCAAGTTCCCTCCTGTCCTCATGTCTCTTACACACCAACCCAATCTAGCTCCCATAACAGCGAACACGCTTAATATTCTAATAAATTTTTTTTAAAATTTTAATTTTTTAAATTGCATTTTAGGTTTTGGGGTACATGTGAAGAACATGCAAGACTGTTGCATAGGTACAAACATGGCAGTGTGATTTGCTGCCTTCCTCCCCATCACCTATATCTGGCATTTCTCCCCATGCTATCTAATAAATTTATTTTAAGTGACTTGGGATTGTAATGGCAGCGGCATAGAAATGGTGGAGGAGGATAGTAACAAAATGGCTAACTTGGAAATCGCAACGTTTTTTCTCTGATCCCAGGAAAGTCTCAACTCAACATCTGGTGGGTTATGACTATTCTACTTATTTTTCAAGAGGTAAAGTAATATACTTAATGAGAAAATACAGCTACTGGTGTACATATTAGTTGAGAAAAAAAGTATGCTTCAGTACATAGAAGCAGTTATTGAAGAAAAGAACAGACGAGCCTGGTTAGTGACTGTCCTACCAAAGTTAAGCCCAGTAACATAGACTATAGTACAGAGACAAATAATATTCACTATTTAAATGGAAATTTAAAATACCAGCTGATAAATGTAAAAGGAATGATAAATTCAAAAATTATCATTTTGCAATCCTTAATGAAATTACAGATTCAAGCAAAAATTATCAATTAGTATTTAAAACCTTTAGGTAATGATTAGCAGGGAGCTGAACATTCTGAGTGTCAAAATAATACCACATAAAGAAACAGCTTGATCTTCTAAGGGAGAGATCAGGTTGTCAACCACAGATATGGTTTGGCTCTGTGTCCCCACCCAAATCTCATTACAAATTGTAATCCCCAAGTGTTGGGAGAGGAACTCGGTGTTTGGATCATGGGGGTGGTTTCCCCCATGCTGTTCTCGTGACAGTGAATTCTCACGAGATCTGATGGTTTAAAACTGTATGGCAATACCCCTTTCACTCTCTCTCCTGCCACCAGGTGAAGAAGGTCCTTGCTTCCTCTTCACCTTCTGCCAAGATTATAAGTTTCCTGAGGCCTCCCGGTCATGCTTTCTGTTAAGCCTGCGGAGCTGTGCATCAAATAAACCTCTTTTCTTCAAAAATGATCCACTCTCAGGTAGTTCTTTATAGTAGTGAGAAAATGGACTAATACACTGACTAAGTCTTTCAATCTGACTTACAGTTTATAGAAATTACAGAAGAGAGGGAATAAACTGAAGGACACATCAAGGAAATAATAGGGCAAATCCAGAAGTGGGACCTTCTACAAGACAACTGGCCCAGACTCTTCAATAGGACAGTATCATAAATAAGGAACTATTCTAGAGTAAGAAATTTAACAAAACAAGCAGTTAGTTGCAAGATGTGGTCCTAGACTGAATCTTGGTTTAAAGAAAACAGCTAAAAGGAAATTTTGGGAGACCATTGGGAAATTTTAATGTGGACTGATTCAAAGCAAGTATTCTTAATTTTGTTGGGTATGTTAAAATATTTTTTTAGAGCTGCATATTAAAATATTTTAGAAGTGAAATATTTTATGTATATATCAGATATATATATATTATATACACACACATATATATAATGTACTATTTTAAATGAATTTTTTATAGGGTTAATTGTAAATAGTTACTAGGTCCTTACAATTATATGAAAATTATTTTAGGAGTATAGCTCAATGATTTAGAGCACTGCTATTATCTCCCTGCGACAGAGAATGAAGTATTCCCTTCCATAACTAATTTACATGTAGCTTTTCCATAAGTCATTCATTTACTATTTGAGAACCACTTATACCTAGGAACTAGTCCACATGTTAGGTATGCAACATGCAACTTGACTTCTCTTAAGGAGCTCACAGTCCATGACTAGAGTATTATATAGCAAATTATTTTAAGGAACAATTTCACAGAGGTTCCAACAAGGTTTCAGAGGATTTGAAGGATGAGTAATAGTAACCATGTAGAGAAAGAGGAAGTAGAGTGGGAAAGAAGTGATTTCTAGTAAATAATATTTGATTATCACAACTATCCTCTAATATATACAGAGTATTATACTCACTACAAAGATAAAGGCAATTGATGCTCAGAAAGGCTGAGAGACTTAAGACACTTGGCCACTATACTCCTTACCATGGCCTTTAAGAGCCTGCATCTTCTGATCCTACTTTATCTCTTCTACTAACTTTCATACCAACTACATCTCTTCAAATTTTCTCTGCACTCATTATAACAGCCATGTGTGTGTTTTCTGTACCACAAATATAGTAAGCACATTCCTACTTCAACCCTTTTGCACTTGCTATTTTCTCTATCTAGAGCCATTTTTGTCACTAGGCCTCAACTTGAAGGTCTTCTTCTCAGAGGCCTTCCTTGTCCTCCCAATCTAAAGTAGATCCCAGTGCCTTCTCTCTAGGTCTAAGACCAAGTAGCTAAATCTCATTGTTTGCAAAGTGACGGACTAGGGCACCGGGACCAATGCTTCACATATCAGCAATCCCACTGCTTTTAAAGCCCAAAGTCTCTGCCCCATCCCACACAAAAATCCTGTTTCTGGTTATTTTTCCTATGTATCTCAGCAGCCCATTACTATTCTCCAGCAGTTCAACCAGGTAGGTCAATGATCAACACTATTATCTTCATTATCACCATCATAAACATATACTGCAAACTTACTATGTACTAGCCACTGTTTTAAGTGTTTTTCAGGTATTAATTCATTCTATCCTTACAAGAATCTTATAAAGTACTCATTAATGCTCCCATTTTAGAGGAAGAAACTGAGGCACAGAGTTTTTAAGTGCCATGGCCAAGGTCATACAGCTATTAAGTCACAGGATTTGAATATAAGTAAACTGGCTACATAGCTTTACTCTTTACATTGTCATGTTATATCAAGAAAGACACTTTGCTCTTCTTAAGGGTCTTTTAAAATAAAAGAAGCATCTGATAAATCATATGGAAAAGTTCTTTTAATTCATAAAGCTACCTAAAACTCTATGCATTTACAAAAGATAAAAGAATTTCATAATTTGTATTTACCTTAAAAATAAGCTATTATCATACTTTTAAGACAGGTAAGCTACCAATGCTGCTTTTTCATGAATATCCAGAAAGTAATTTTTAATTCTATTGGGCTTCAACGATCACTACTATCCAATCATCCTGGTTTAAAAGCCAATAAAAGGAAAATGCATATATAAACTCTACTCATAGAGTAAATTTGTGATTATTGCTACATCCTTAAGATTTACTGGTATTTTAAGATAAATATTATTTTAGGTCTTAGTAAGGACCGTATCTGTCATAAAGTCACATGCAGAAAGATGAGGCCAAAAGGCTATCTTTAGCTCCTCAAATGAGTCTTCTTTATTAGCCCTGCCAATCCTAAGGGGATGTACATATATGAAACAGTCCTGCCAATCCTATGGGAATGTACATATATGAATGTCCACACATACCACATGGGCTTTAACAAAAATGAATAAGGGCAAACTATGGCAGAAAAAGACAAATTCATATCTCTGTATCACTAGAGAATCTTACAGAATAATAATTTCTAATGGCCTTTTATCTATCTTCTCAGATAAGTGCAGCTGATTTTGGTATTTATAGGTCTACTGCCTAAGCATGTGGTAATCATTTTTCAGAGTTTTTCTCAAAGTATTCAAACTATATTCTAAATAAGATCCAATAGTTTTAATCTTTTTTTAAAAAAGAAAATTAATAGAAAATAATGAAAATGTCTTACCTTCTATTCCCAATCTAATCTTCTTAAGACCCCTCTCCTTCAAAACTGACTTGGCCACATCTCTGTTTTCAATGTACTTGAAAAATCTATATAATTTTGTGCTATAAATAACTAGAAAGAAAAGACAAAAATATTCTTGTATTAAAATTAAAGGATTTAGAGATGAACTTAAATTTATCTTGCTCATCAAAGGGGCCTAACAGTCCTAAAAGCCCAAATAACGGATGCAGTAATGCCAAAGGATGACTAGCCAACATGACAGGGCAATATTCAGTATAGTTAATGTAGAAGCAAATGTCTACTTAAGTGAAAACAAGAAAAGCTTTGACAACCAATCAGAAAACCCAATCCATAGGAACACTCTCCTTCTGAAAGATAAATCATCTATACATTTATTGGAATAAGATCTGCCCCAAGTTTCAAATAAGAGAATCCAAAGAAGATATCAATGTCGATCATTATCAAGCAAAGTAAAGGACTTTGCAAAGATCCCTACAAGGCCTAGTCTAGAGGTGGGGAAAAGCTGCCTTGTCAAAGAGTACAAAACAGACACATTTTACATTTCATGGATTGAGCAACTATTAATAATTTCCCAAAATGCAAAGACCCTCCCCACAAACTGTTTTTCATTCAGGCGAACAGCCCCATTTAATACTGATGTTAAAAATGGCAGATTCGAGCAAGTTCTGCCTAGGTTAGTCTGTTTAGAGCAAACTGGCTTTGCAAAGGACAGATATTCCACTGACAACATGTTGAGTCTTCCAAATGTGCTGAGAACTTCAGGGAGTTAGACTGATGGACATTCCTCGCCTTCTCTCTTTCAGGTGGAGTTATCTCCCTTAAAAGATGAACTGCAAAGGTTTTTTCAAAAAAAGAAAAACACACTCACAAAACCAAATATGCTGGTTTAAGAGCCAATAAAAGGAAAATGCGTATATAAACTCTACTCATGGGGTAAATTTGTGATTATTACTACATCCTTAAGATTTACTGGTATTTTAATATAAAGATTATTTTAGATCTTAGAAAGGACAGTATCTGTCATAAAGTCACATGCAGAAAAATGAGGCCAAAAGGCTATCTCTAGCTCCTCAAATGAATCTTCTTTATGTTGGATAATCTTGACACAAAATAAAACATATTTAGACAACTAAGTAAACATGTTTTCAGGCCTTTCACGCTTCAAAGCTTAAGATAAAAAACAAGAAAACAAAAAGAAATATATTGAAGTGGAAAAATTCTACAATGGAAAAGAAAATATCAGGTTTATTATAATTCCTTTATCACTATAACATCATTTCTATGTTCTATGGTTGGCTATACTTTCTTGAAGTCAAACCTTCTGAAAAGTAAAATATAAGTTTGTTCATTCCTTTTCCTTAACAGAAAATAATTTAGTATACTTCTTTTAATTTTGGCAACCTTTCATTTTTCTTGGGTTTTGTTCAACTTTTTATTCCACATATTACAGAAAAACATTGTCAGTAAAGAGCCTAGGACTGAGGAAACAGCAACAGAAATGTCTATTACTACAACTATCCACAAAGAAATCACAACACTCATTTAAGTACATCATGCAAAAGAAATATCTCAATGCAAACTCTGAAAAGTGCTACCATAACTGTGTTAAATAATCTTTCAAAAATCTCTTTTAGAAGTAAAAAAGAATGCCATTTGGAGTCTGTTTTGTTTTGATTTTAGAAAAGTATATGTAAAATGGAAAAATCAGAGATAAGTGTTTTGGTACTTCCTATATTAAACCCTAATCCTTACCAAGTCAACAGACTAGAGTACAGAAGAAGATGTTAGGCTTTTTTATTCAGTTCCTAGAGTCATTCTTTCAATTCTTCCTTATTTATGAAACTGGTCAAAAATACTAATATCAGATTCATCAAGAAAAATAACAAAAAAATAAGAAAAATGTTAGCGATTGCTGCTCATGATAGGCCATTTTGGTCAGAAATACCCCAAAGAACTATAGTTCTACAAAGCCTTATGAAGGGTCATTGTATCCTTGATGAAAATATGTATGTTGAAAAGAACACCTTGGAACTCAATGTTATCCTCAAAATCAATGAGTTAAAACTTCTAAATTTATATAAAAATAAAAATTCCTTTTTTAAAAAACACTGTTTCTATAAAGGAACTAGTTATCCAGGATGCTTTTAAATACAAAGAAAAAAATCTATCAAAATCCAGATAGTCAACAAAAAGCTAACCACTTATGTGTATGGCATGGGCAGGGCATATTGTTCTGTATAGGGACATATAATAAATACTTCGGGCATTGCGAGCCATGCAGTTTCTGTTGCAACTACTCAGTTCTGCCACTGTAGCATGAAAGCAGCCATAGGCAATACATAAAACTTTATTTATAAAAATAGGTGGTGAGCTGGATTGACGCCCAGGCTACAGTTTACTGGTCTATGAAAAGAGTTCTCTCTTTACAAAAACAAGAGATAATCCATAATGATTCAGGAGAGAGAAAACATGCCAGAATACTTACTTTGTGAATATTCTTCTCCCATCTGTGGTGGATATTCTTCATCCCAATCAACCACATCATCATCTGTAAGCACCACTATATGACATTCCCGTTCCCCGCTCTGGGCACTAGCTACCATGAGAGGGAGGATCATTTCTTCCAGATAAAATTCAAATTGTCTACGAGCACCATCATTTGATAACTCATGCATTAGGGCACCTGAAACGAAATCCACAAAATATCTTATCAAAACTTTTCCTGAAAAGAGTTCTTTTAGACATACAGAATCTTATAATAAGAAGGACCAATCAAAGGCATCCTACAGAGGCCCCCTCTTCATTTTACACATCATGAAATAACTTGCTTACTAAGTTTACAAAACTAATTTGCAAAGTCAGAAGTCAGAATTAAAAGCCTATCAGAAATTAAAGTCAGAATTAAAACTCTATCCGTAGCCTAGCATATTTTTCACTATACCATATTATCTTCCATCAGTATATGCAATATGTCTTAAAGCATATCTTAAAGATACTTTTCAGGTTATCCACATAAACTGAAATAATTTGTATATTCCATCTCTTGCATGTTCTCCTTCTCAGAAAGTTACAAACAGAATATTTCAGTGCAGGTTAGAGGTGAGGTGAGAAGCATCAATAGGGAATAAGGTAGGCAAACGGCCAAGCAAAATATAACATGATGCAGGAATTCCACAGCAAACTTGATACTAGAATTGAGAAAGCTGAAAGATAGACTTCAGCGTCCTTAAGCATAGACATAATGAACAACTTTAGTTTCCTAAACGCACAGCCACAAACTCACCTGCACTAACCTATCTTTTTTTCTGTTTTCTGGGATGGCATTCCGCTCTTCTCACACAGACTGGAGTGCAGTGGCATGATCTCAACTCACTGCAACCTTCACCTCCCAGGTTCAAGTGATTCTCCTGCTTCAGCCTCCCAAGTATTTGGGGTACAGGCATCCGCCACCATGCCCAGCTGCTAATATTTTTATTTTGGTAGAGACGGGGTTTCACCATGCTGGTCAGGCTGGTCTCAAATTCCTGACCTCAGGTGATCTGCCTGCCTTGGCCTTCCAAAGTGCTGGGATTACAGGCGTGAGCCACCGCACCTGGCCTCTTTCTTCTTGAATTCCTATTTAAGGAAATGTCCTATCTCCTACTGAAGATTCCAACATCTCAGGAACTACTGCTACTGCATCAGCCTGGAGAGCAAAGTTAAAGAAGCAACCATGGCAACCACATGCATGAGTGAGTGAGTGTATGTGTGTGTGTGTGTGTGTTGTAAAAACTGGAGAAGTGGTGAAGGAGGACACTAGAACTCAAACCTACAGTCTCCCAAGGGAGACCTTTTCCTCCCTACAAGATGTCTCTATAATTATATATAACAATTGGCAATATGTAATTAATATCTTACAATTAATATAATAGATAATTGATTCGATAATTAAATAATCTATATTGCTATTACTTAGCCATGTTTCTCTCCAGGCTGGCTATTTCTCATTACCATTTTAAAAAGTTATCTTTATAGACAAATTCCTATAATTCAATACCATCTCTCTCCCCCAATTTCTGAACCAATTCCAATCTGGCTTCCACTCTCACTATGCTACACAAGTATTCTTGCCATGGTCTCCAAATGGACTTTATATTTTTAAAGACAATAATCATCCTTTGGTCCTCATCTTACTTGACTTCTCAGTTTAATCTCCTACACTGGACCCTCTTTCTTGAAACACATTTATCCCTAAGAATCTCTGATACCATTATCCCTGTTTTTTTCCTCCTTCAGGCTATTCTTCCTCAGTGACCTTTGCCAACTGTTTCTCCCACAGCTGTTCATTAAATACTGGTATTTCTCAGGACAATTTTAAGTTCTTTTCTTTTTTTTCTGCTTTTATCATATGCTGACAATTCCCAAATTTGTTTCTACTAATTCAGTCTTCTGTATTCAATATGCATTATATTTAGCTGCTCTCTGGAAATTTCCACTTGGATGCAATCTCACAGGTAGTCGAACTCAATACAACCAAAATTGAACTCATCATCTCTGTCTCTCTCCCTAGTATTTTTCAAATCAGTAAATGCCATCACTATCCACCCAAGTTCTCAGAACCAACTCAGTACAGTGCTAGGCATAATGAGAACTTAAATATTAGTATACTAAATGAATAAATCCTTGATTTCTCCTTTACCTCGTAATTCAAATAATTCCCCAAGTCTTCTTAAACATACCTCGAACTGTGTTATTTCCTTCTTTTGGCAGATATTTACTAAGGAGCTACAAAATCTCCTAAGCCGCGTACTTTTCTGCAAGGTGACCCTGACATCTTCTCCCAAAAAGTGAAGTCTAGTTCCCCTCCCCTTTAATTAGACTTGTCATACAATTTTGTAACCAGAGGAGCATGGCTGAGGGGAAAGCACATGGCACTGGAGGCGAAGTCAGAAGAAGCCTTGCAATTTTTGCCTTGGTTTCTGGAATGCTTGCTCTTCAAATGCTTCCTCTCTGAATGCAGCCTCCAGGATTTGAGAAGCCCAAGTCATGGAGAGGCTATACATAGGTATTCTGTTTGACATTCCTAGCTGAGTCCAGCCTTTGAGTCATTCCAGTCCTGGCACCAGACATGTGAGTAAAGCCTCCAGCATTGTGAGCCACCCCAGCCCATTAATTCTTCACAAATGAGGCCTCAGACATTGTGAAGCAGCCATAAGCCACCTCTGCTGTGCCCTGTATAAATTCCTGACCCGAGTAATAAAATGGTTATAGTTTATGCGAACTACTGCACAGCAATAGTTAACCAGGCATATTCCATCTCCTTGCCTCCATCCTGATTCTATTCATCATTAACTCTCACCCAAACTACTACACAATCTTTCTGATTACATTCATTTTTGCAATTCATTTTCCCCAGGGCAGCCAAATCTAATTGTCTCTGCTAGTCTAACCCTCTTATGACTTGTATTATCCTTAAAATAAGTCGCAAATCCTCAACTTGGTATGGTGAAAAAGAATGTCATAAATCAGTGTGTAGAATCAATCCTTTAATACATATTCTTTAAATATTATCCATAGACTGATGACTCCCACTTATATCTAGCCGACATGTATATCCAATGCTCCACTCAAAATTTCTACTTAGATATCCAACAAGTATTTCAAACTAATCTTGTTCAAAATCAAGCTTCTAGATTTTTGCTCCTCATGAAGTCTCCTTCATCTCAATTAACAGCAATCTCACACTTCCAGTTAAATCTCTCTCTTTTCTACTCCACATTCAATTGAAGAGGAATTGCTGGTAATCCAAACATTCAATATGACTAGAATCTGATCACTTCTCACTGCTTCCACTCTAATCCAAGCCTCACCATCTCAGACCTGGATTTTGGCATTGACTCCCTAATTGATCTCTGCTTCTAGCTCAATTCCCTTTTTGGTCTATTTCTAACACAACAGCCAAAAGTGATTCTTTTAAACCTTAAGTCAGGTCAGGATTACAGCACTGAAAAATTCTACATTGATTTCTGTGTGAACAGGGCCCCCGTGAAATGGTACAATGTGACAGCCTAACAGATCACATCACTCTTTTTTTTGTTGTTCAAATCCCTCCCTTATATTCCAATCGCACTCAGAGTAAAAGCCAAAAGATAAAGGCCCTCTATAACCTAGGTCCCTTGTTACCTCTCTGACTACATCTATGACTAACACTCTCACTCATTCCACTCCAAATATCGTGGGCTTTCTGATGCTCTCAAACATACCAGACAAGCTCCCTCATTGTGTAAATTCACTACTGACCTCTGCTTGAAATTTAACATTTTCATTTCTAGTGAGTTTCTCTGGCTACTCTAAGTAACTTCACTTTTTTTTCCTTAGCACTTATCACTAACATACCATATATGACTTATTTACTTTATCGTATGTTTTTCCCAATAGGGTGTAAGTTCCATTAGAATACAAAGTCTTGCCTGGTTTGTTCATGCGGAATCCCCAAAACTTAGAACAGTGCTTAGTACAGTCATTAAATATTTGTTCAATTAATAAATTTTGTTTCCTCTTTACCTCTCAGCTTATTCCTCACCACTCATACTCCATTCCTCTGCTCTAGCCACATCTGCCTTTTTTTGGGTTCCCTCAATATGTCATATTCTCACCCACTTGAGAACCTCTGCACATATCATTTCTAATCCTTGTATGGTCAGTTTCACCGCCTTCTTTGCCATCCTTCAGGTCTCAGCTTTAATGGCACTAAATAATGATTCTCCACAGACCCTTTGTCATACACGTCTCATAATATCTCATTTCTTCTCTGCATTTTTCATAGCTTTTATTACTTGTTAAATGTCCTTCCCACTAGTCTATTATCTCCATAAAGGCAGGGACAATGTCTTTGTTCATCACTATATGTGCTATATGCATGAAACTCATAAAAAGCTTGATTAAGAAGGAAGAGGGGAAGAAAGGACAAGTTCAATGGTAAACTAGAAATGAATAGTTGACCAGGACGCAAAAGCACAAGAATGATATATAGTGGACCCTGGGAAGCCGGTAGGGAAGGCTGGGAGGAAGGTGAGGGATAAAAGACTACATACTGAGTACAGTGTACACTGCCTGAGTGATAAGTGTACCAAAATCTTGAAAATCACCAGTAAAAACTTACCATGTAATCAAAAAACACCAGTATCCCTAAAACTATTGAAACAAAATTAAAACAAATTTTGTAAAGGTGACACTTAAAAAGTTAGAAACTGTCAGTGTAAAGATAGTATCTGAAGCCACAGTGACGAACAGCACCACTTAGCATAACTGCAGATCCTGTGAGAGAGAAACTAGCTAACAGTAGAGAACAACCTCAATTCCAAGGATCAGGAATAAGGATGCCAAAAAGCCAAAGAAAGGGAGAGTCAAGAAAAAAAATGAGTATTAATTAAGCCTAAAGGAAATGTCTTTATTTTTTCTTGAGATAGGATCTTGCTGTGTTGTCTAGGGTGGTCTCAAACTCCTGGGCTCAAGTGATCCTCTCACCTCAGCCTCCCAAAGTACTAGGATTATGGACATGAGACACCACGTCCAGGGAAATGCCTTTAAAGTCAGAGATGCCAGAATCCCCATTAAACTAAACATTGTTGAAAATCTTCTAGCCAATTTGACAAGATAAAAAAGGTATAAAAAGTATTACTTATAACACAGACAATTAACTAT